TATTATTGTTTATCCTTATGAAATATTATGTGTTATTATATTTAATTGGATTTAGTAATTCTATATGTGTTATCACATGTACTTATGTTATGTGCCATAGTAATTCTATCTATGTGTTATCTTGAAGATACAAATGGCTGCTCCGGATGATAACTTGAATGATGACATAATGGCGGATATTATCAACGCCGGCACCAATGCGGATGTAGATGACACGAGTCAGTACTTTGCTGATTATGAGGATATCCTGATTATCCCGGTGGTTGAAGATCAACAAATTGTAGCGCAAGAAAATACTGGCGAGGTATATTCGATTATCTATCATCTCTTATAGATGCATGCGTACGTATATTTATTGTTAATCGTTGTGTTTCTACTCATGTAGCCGGTCTCTGGATCTACATCAACCACCGGCAAGAGTAGGAAAGTCCGAGGAACAAAAAAGCCATTAGAGGGTCGTTTCATATATCAGAATTCGACACCGACACCGGCAAACCATTGGAACCACATGCTCAGACATATGTCAATCAATGTGGGTTCATTGTAAGGGATAGGATCCCAGTTAGTGCTAGTGAATAGAAGCAGAAGATATCCGCTCCTAATGTTAGTTTTGTATCTGATCGTGATAAGAACCTAGCTTGGAGAGATATCACTCAGCATTTCACATTACAAGCAGATGATGCTTTGAAAGAGCTAGTGAGGGATTGGACAATGAAGAAGATGGCAACATTGTTCCAGAGTTGGAAGAAGACATTGTATAAAAAGTTTATCTTGAAGAATAAAACGCCGGATTTCAATGCTAAGGCGTTTGTCAAGTTGGAGTCCCATTGGGATGACTTCGTACAATACAAGACATCTTAAGAAAGTGAGGAACGTGTGATGAGGAATTAGCAGAATGCCCGACAGAAGCAATACCATCATCGCATGGGATCAGGTGGTTATAGGAGTGCTATTCCCAAGTGGCAGAACCTAGAAGCAGAGATTACTGCCAAGGGAATCATACCTGAAACAATAGAGAAGAACTGGCCTCAACGCGCGAAGAATTGGTTCTACACTCATGAGGGAAGCCTAGACCCAGACACTGGCAAGCTAATTTTCGGCCAAAAAATTGAGAGAGCAAACACAGAGACTAGCTCGTGCTAGGGAAGAAGCTGATAGTGGTGTTTTCAAGCCCAACAGAGAAAAGGATGAATTGACATATGCCCTAGAGAATCTCGAACACGGTGGTCGAACAAGAGGCTATGGGGCGGTTCTGTGGCTACAAGCATTCCCAGTAGACAAGGGTACCTACAGAAGCCGCCAGAGAAAGAAGGATGAGGAGGTAGACCGAATCCGTGTATTGGAGCAATTTGTTAATGAGTCACGACAAGCATTGCTTGAATCACGTGAACGAGAAAAATCTCTTGAGGCAAGAATGCAGGAAGAGATCAAGAGGCAAGTGCAGCTAGCAATGAGTCAAATGCAATCGCAATCAACGTCGGGAGTCACCATTAGCCCCGTTGGTCAGATGAAAAGCAGTTGTGCTTCCATGGAGCTGCCAGTTATTCAAGGTGACACTGGGTTGCGCTTCCCTGTTGATGACATTACCGAGCCTCTAACAACATATGAGCTGCACATTCTAGATGGTAATAATGCATCAATCATGGTGGCTATCGGGGTTGTATCTCCAATAGACCGAACGAAGACACCAAGAATCCATGGGTCAGTTATTCAACCTGGATATGCTAGCGTCTTGGTCGATAGAGTGCTCAAAGGTTACAGCAATGTTCCTCTTGACATTGAAGGCGATGATGGGGAGAAGACACTAGGAGAAGCAGAGAAGACATTTATTCAATGGCGCAAACGCTTCATCATCATTCCTAGGGCGCCACCGCTTCCCCTACCTCACCCTAGGTACGAATGAAAGTGAATGAAATATTATTTTCCATTAATTTTATATTGGCTTCAAAAATAATTGACCCACAACTTGTTTTTGTAGCAGGGTCTCCCCCTAGCCTAGCCCAATCATTCATTCCCCATCTCATCACAGCGTCGCGGGGGGCGAGACGACTTCATCCCCACGACGATCTCCAACTCCTACACCGGCCCCATCGCCTCCACAACGATCTCCAACTCCTACACCGGCCCCACCGCCTCCACAACGATCTCCAACGTCTCCACGCCGGACTCCAACACCGGCCTCATCGCCTCCACGCCGGTCTCCAACACCGCCCCCACCCCCTCTACAGTGACACACTACAAAGACGTCTAAGGTCCCGGCGGCAAAGAAGACCCCAAAAAAAAGAGTTATTTCTCAAGAAATACTTCCTAAAAAGACTGATAAGCAAATAGCAGCTGAAGAACACAAAAAAGTAAAAGATTTTTTTATAGATATCCAAAAGTAGAGACAAGCGAAGCTTAAGAAGAAGTCGTACTTTTACATACCACGAGATCAGTTGAGGCAGAAGGTCGAAGCTCACAACAAAAAGATGCTTGAAGTTCGTAAGCCTCCGCCACTATCAGACTATGACCGCTCCCTCGTGAAGTCACATGATGCACATAAGAAAAGGAAAAGAGCATCAGGGAAGGATGTCCCACAGCTCGGACAACAGAAGCAACCAATGCAAAATCTTGTTGTTGCTAATGAATATGGTTCCAACATAGAAGTCTATCGATCAGACAACTCTGGAGAAGTGTCGGTTCAAGACCTTAATGCTTTTTTTGAACAAACTGGTTTAACCTTGGATCAAGTGACGGGCAAAGCTCCAATCCAGAACCTGGAAGTTGATACCTGGAAGACTTATAAATTTGGCAAAAGTCTGTACAACCCTGCGGCTCTAAATGAATTGGGTACGCAAATGTACTTGCTCAACAAGTGGTACATGCAGGCGTGTGGCAGGGGTGAGCAGTGGATCTTTGTCAGATTTATAGACCATCATTACTTCCGTGGCGATGACATCTTACATATTAGTTTCGAAGAATTGCATCAATTATACCACTTGAACGCTCTGGACAAATCAATCATTAGCTCCTTTTGTTTGTAAGTGATTCTTACTTTTATTTAATAAACTCACTTCCATGCGTACGTGTATATAATTATCCTCACATGTAACTTATATTTATATACAGATTCTAGATGTCAGAGCTCCAAAGAATACAAGACACCAGTGTTGGCTTCATTGATCCTTATATCGTATTCAAAACCGATATTATTGTCAAGGAGCACTGGGTATCTGAAGCACAGACGAATATCATGAAGTTCTTCGTGAAGCAGCACGACAAGACAATAATACTTTTCCCGTACAACTTTGAGTAAGTGTTAATAATAATGTAGTCTACATATTTTATGTAATATCAATACAACTTATATGCATGTACGTGTGTGTATAAACCAATGCAGGTTTCACTGGATACTCATTGTCATTGAGTTAAACTCAAGTCGGTTAGTAATCTTGGACTCATTGAGAAAAGAACGAGCACTATACCAAGATATGATAGACATTATCCAGGGATAATTTCGATCTCTCGCGCACAACTATTATTGAATAGACTTTGCCATAATTTATTAACGATCGTACATTATTGGTCGCACAGGGTTTGGAAAGAGTTTATTCGGCAACACCGCAAGGACTGCAAGGCACCACTTAATGTAGTTGAAATACCAGTAAGTTGTACTATATATACTTCCCCACGTGTTTAATTACTATATCGTACTTCAATTTACGTGTGAGATGATGAGAATAATCTTCTTCTTGTACAGTGGTGTTTGCGGCAGCAACCAGGTAATAACTTGTGTGGATACTACGTTTGTGAATTTATCACTGCACACATAAGAAAAACTCCTGAAGATGTCCTCAGAGTACGTATATATCAATTTTTTATTTATTTTTAAATGAATATATATATATATGTATTGATACTTTTCCTTTTATTTCAAATGTAAGACTGAATGATTGAAACGAAGGGTCATGCAAAAAGATCATCTGAAAGCAGTTCAAGAGTCAATAGCAGAATATCTTCTAGAAAAAGTGCTAAATCCCAACGGCGAGTTCTACTTTGATCCTAAGGACTAATGGTGTAAATTAAATGTTTATTGATATCGTTATTTTTTAGAACAAAATTATGAAAGTGTTGTATATATACATATATATAGTTTTATACTTTATTCGAATATAATAATGCTCGAGATGAGAATTAGATGTAATTATATGCGTGCGTGTATTTATATTAGCAGCGTAGAATACGTACATAAAAACATATTATAGATTAAACAAATATGTGTAACTGAACTGAAAACAAATTAAACAAAAAAAAAGAAAAAGAAAAGGAACATTTAGTCCCGGTTGGGTTACCAACCGAAACTAAATGGTGCGGCCACGTTTGCTCGGCTGGAGGGCCTTTAGTCCTGGCTCGATGACCCGGGACTGAAGGTTCCACCTTTAGTCCCAGGGTCGTTGTCCCGGCGCGGTAACCAGGACTAAAGACCGTTATCCCGGCGCGGTAACCAGGACTAAAGACCGTTACTGTCCGGGACAATAAGTCCATCCTCTAGTAGTGACATGTCTTAGGTCCATGCTACACAAGGAGAACGACAAGCCCAAAGGCGAAATGAGCGTGTAGTGTGCTGGAGACCGCAGGCTACAACAATGGAGAGTTCTGCCAAAAATAGGTTTGCTGTCTTTTAGGTGGTTTTCAGCTTAGTTTCGTGTTAGAATTGTGCTCTGAGAGCTTTTGTTGAGTGCATAACTTGTACATAGACCGCAATAATAAAATTATTTTTCTAAAAAATCTCACTCATCTAATAATCATAATGCAAAAATATGAAGGATTAAAAAAGATCCAACAGATGTTAATCATCTACTGTCAGAAGCTCGTAATGTTCGCGCAGTCTAAGCACTTCCTACATACTCCGTACATAATACAGTCGACGTATGCTGTATGCATCTATATACACGTGACGATGCATGCAACTAATATAGCTGCTGTGTCCTGCAATGCAAGGTCGATGGTCGTCTGATGATTCAGAGGCAGCTCGGAGGCAGCACGAGGCCGAGCGTGGTCCCCTGCACGTTCCGGCAGTAGGACTTGGCGGCGGCCCGGTTCTGGTACGTCAGCGCCACGTCCTGCAGGCTGATGCCGCTGCAGGGGTTGCTCCGGCTGCAGTCGAAGTTGACGGCCACCAGCGTCGCCGAGGAGCCCCGGATGCCCACGTACCGCACGTCGCTGATCCTGATGCTGGAGCTCCTGCCGGCGCCGGGGCAGCCGCTGCTGTCGGGGCAGTAGTTCTGGTCGATGATGATGGGGTTGTCGACGCCGGACATGGTGGAGTCCGCGAAGGTGACGCCCGTGACGAAGCCGCGCTTGGAGCCGCCCCACGTCTTGATCCGCAGCCCGTTCATGGTGCCGGTGAACCACGTCGTCTTCACCGTCACGTTCTGCACCGCCTCCACCTCCATGCCCTGCTGCTTTCCCAGGCTCCCAATGCTAATAATAGTTGAACAAGTCACAAAGCAGAGTCGATTTCATCACTATATTAGTGGATGGATTAGGTTAGGTACAAATAAACCCAAACGCCACGCATGCGAGTATATGCAAACTAGAGTATTAAGCGGGCCCAGGTCAGGTCTGTTTCCACTAACGCACTAAAACGTTGCCACCGTCTGACTTGAAGATCTTTCTACTTTCGAGGCCGTTTCAGTCAAACCAGTTTATGGATTGATTTCCATAAACCAGCTCAAACTTCCATTCCCATGCTTTGATTTTCTCGATTTAATTCCTAACGTGGCCATTTCTGCCTCATTCATGCAGACAAATCACCGCGCATCGCGCTGACGCACTGACGACTGACCGAGACGACGACGACGTACCTGATGCCGTGGCCGGGGCCGCAGGCGACGCGCTCGATCCAGAGGTGAGAGTTCCCGGGGCCGACGGAAATGCAGTCGTCGCCTGTGCTGATCCTGGCGTCGTACACCGACACATGGCTGGACATGTGCAGGTGGATCCCGTCGGTGTTGGGGCTGTCCGCCGGCGCCTCCACCGTCACCCCGCGCACCGTCACGCCGTGGCACTGCAGCACCACCACGTGGAACAGCTCGCTGTCCACCGACCGCACGCCGGCCACCACCACGTTCTTCGAGTTGGCGATCGTCAGAGACTGCAAAGCAAGCACGGCGAGCCAAGTTAGCAGGCGCATTACATTAGCTTGTGCTATCGATCGTCAGGTTTCGAGTTTCGACGACGACGACGTACCGACGTGGGGTTCGGACAGTCGCGCTGCCCGCGCCGTCTGCACGCCCAGAGCGCCCTGCCGCGGCCGTCCAGCGTGCCGCCGCCGGAGACGACGAGGCCGTCCATGTTCTCGAACGTGATCCACCGCCCCGACGAGCCGCGCGCGCGCCGTAGCGCGCGGGGGCGACGACCGTGCCGGCGATGGCGAACGTTACGGCGCGGCTGCGGCACGGGCCGGTGAACGTGGCGCTCCGCACCAGGTACCGGCCGGGCGGCACGTACACGGTGGTGGCGGGGGCGAGCGGCAGGCGTCCGCCCACGCTCGGAGGAAGGGTCCCGCCGCGTCCGTCGCGCCGTCGGGGCGGGCGCCGTAGCGCAGCACGTTGTACACTGCGACGCCGGCCGGGTCGGGCAGGAACAGGAGGGCGGCGTGCAGGTGCACGAGCAAGCTCAGGACGGGCTTGGCCATGGCCATCTATGTGTGTTCCCGCAGGCTGACAGGTGATAGTTAGGTATGTGTTCGACGATGTGCTAGCTTGTACACGTGTATTTATAGTGTTGGCATCTATCGGCCGCCTCTGGTTAACATGGGGGTAGTAGTATTTGGGAATGAATCAAGTGGGCGAACAAGAGTTTGAGAGCGTGCATCTTCTTCTATCTAGAAAAATAAAGACGGAGGAGAGAATTTGAGAGAGTAATTAAAGTACACCAACGGTTCTTAAATTTGTGGGACTGTGCATCCCTGTTCCTAAACTCGCAAATTGCTAATTTATTATGATGACTATGTTATCCCGGTCCTAAGTGCTCGTTTAGATCATCAAACTTGTTCGACGGCAGGAGGTAAGCAGTCAAGTGCAGGATTTAGAAACCTAACCTGGGAAACGAGACCATTCAGGTTGGTTAGTAAACTTTTACATGAGGCATTGACCATTGGAGGGTGAATAAAGTATGGGTTTGGTGAGTTCTTCGAAACAACTCATGGCAGGCTAGACACTTCCCATGTGTGCATAACCTGTTTCTGCCGAGCCATAGATAGTAGCAGTAGTAGTAGTAGTAATAGTAGCGGCGAGCAAACACATTGTCTACAACTACAACTGCCATCGTCGCTTTGCATTGCGAGCTAGCTGGAGCTGAATATGGTCACTGAATTGTTGAAGGATGGATGAATTCATAAGCGGTGCAGGGTTGGAAGCTTGGAGCTCACCACAAATAGACGTCAAAGTGAGGCGTATTTCTGGCACTTATGGACAAGTGCAACTATATCAGTCCCATCAGGGCGTATTTCCGCCACCGTCAGCTCACGCAAATTATTGCAGACCATTCGGGGAAAGAGCTCCAGAATTCACAAGAATATAATGGCTGACATCGATCGACATGTGGAGTTTGAAACTGGCTGAACTCTACAGAAATCAAGAAACAAAGCCATTCCTAGACAATTCGTAAATGAGCTCCGTTCGGATGGGCAGCTGCTGCCGGCTGGGCTGGCTGCTCTCCCTCACACGTTACTGTAGCCGACACCTAGGGTCAGCCAGCCGCAACAGCTGAAACCCAGCAGCTGCATTTGGAATCAAGATTGGAGGCTCAGGCAATTTGGTTTCATCGACCTTGCTTTCTACTACTACCATCGGCAAAAACCGGCTACAGGACAATTCATCTTTTGACTATCTGAAACGACCCTCGTGGAAATGCAGGTAGAAACTAGGAGCATGCTTTATTTATCATAGAACTAGCAGTCCAATGACCTAGCAGGCTAGTACGAGTGTTGGGTTGGTCTTGTGACTGTTGCAGGATAGCAAATTTGACTACTCTCAGCTAGCAGTGGTGGGTTGGGCACATCCCAACCCAGCCTAGGCACACGTTCGAGCTCCTTCAAATTCAACAACTACTTCGGTCAAGCAAACAAGACCTTGGTTTGGCTTCGCTGTTCACCAAAACCGATCACCATCACCTACTGTGTGATCATGGCGGACCTTTTTGACACCATCTTTCAACATATACTGGAAAACGCAGAGTATTATTTGCTAATTGCGCTAACTATAAATGTAGCGTCAAAGGTTTAACCAGTAATGGGCCAGGTAGCAGTACGATCCAGTCTTAGCCTCATGTGCCAAGTCAGCCCAACTTTGTGCAATAATAATATATCGGCCCAAAATGAGATAGCCGATTAACTCGGTCCAAGTTCGTGCGTGCCGTGACCCGTGACAGTGTGCGCACTCTGTCCCACTGTCAAAAAAAAAAATTAAAAAAAACACGGCCAGCAGGTCATTCACAACAATTTCTTACGCAGCCTTTTCATGTTTCATATACTAGCAGCACGTAAATTGCGTGTATCAACTCCTCAAGAATGGCTTACCTCCGCTATGGAGGAGCTAGCTTCAATCCTTGCTGTTACGTTAGAAAGAGGTTCTGCTCGGATGTGACATCTCGACCCTGCTTATTGCATAGCCATGCTCCAAGCCAGCACCACCTGATGGGAAGAACCAGATACAGATACCTTAGTCCGTTCTTGCAAGCTACAGTATTTGTTTTCGAACTGTTAGACAGAAATTAATGGCATTTTGTCTGCATGCGCCATCATTATACAATTAACCAGCAGCTTTCGAAAAAGAAGATTAAACCAAGGCCCTGTTTTGTTCCACTTCATTTTGCCAAATTTTTCAAGATCCCCTATCACATCGAATCTTTGGACGCATGCATGAAGTATTAAATATAAATAAAAAATAAAACTAATTACACAGTTTAGACGAAATCCACGAGACAAATCTTTTAAGCCTAATTAGACTATGATTAGACACTAATTGTCAAATAACAACGAAAAGCGCTACAGTTGCATTTTGCAAAAAAATTCGCATCTAAACCGGGCCCAATAGTGAGGGGGGGAAGGCCAAAAACTAAGTGAGCGCAGCAACGTGACGCTTCGGTGGACAGTGAAAACGGGCAACAGCTTGTGATCAACCTACCAACCAGATCCTGTCACGCTTTTTTACTAGCCACAACCCGCGGCACCTCCCCGCTCCCGCCATCTGGCCAGCACCTCCGGTTCATATTGTTAAACAAAAAAATATTAGCACGGAAAAGCAGAACGTGCCCGCTTATGCACGTACAATATTTATCAAGAAATGTATGCACAGCATTTGTGTAATAGAATTATTATATATACACCACCACTACTACTACTACTACTATACTACATAGCGAAAACACTGGTCCTGTATATGGAGCAGAGTTGCTACCAAAATTAGCAGCATCTGTGAGCTGAGCTGACTGCCTGCCCATCCGTACCTGATTTGGGTCACCCAAGTGCACCAGACCAGGGCCTGTGCATGCCTTTTCTTCCCTCCATCTAACCACTCCTTGACCCCGGTTTGCAATGTCAAGCTGCCGCTCCTCCTCATATACCTCCTCGTCGCTCGTCTCTGTCCTAAGATAGGAATCAAATAATCTTTCCATTGGTTCTCTTCCAAACAGGTGTAGGAAGAGAGAGAGAAAAAGGTACTTGTTTCGCGCTTTCAGATTGCTGCGTTCTTCCTCGCAACTTCTCATTTCCCATCATTTCTTTTTCTCTGAGGTGAGGCTGGGCCTTCGAGCTCGCCAGGAAAAGATTGTGTCACCTGTAGTAGCTGCGGGATGCCTGTCAAAACTCACAACTCATTGATTCTTTTCTTACTCTACTAGGTGTTTGCAGTTTCTGTAGAGAAGGATACGAACCACTCTGCAAAGATGGCACTGGCTCTGAGGCTGCTTCTTGCATTTCTGGTGATCGGATCCTGCATCGCTGCTGACAACATCGACTTGTGGCCGATGCCACAGTCGGTGTCCCATGGAACACAGAAGCTCTACATCAAGAAAGATATCACAATGTCAATGGTGGGAAGCACGTATTCTGATGAGAAATCAATCTTGAAGGACGCCTTCCAGAGGATGGTTGATTTGATCACACTGAACCATGTCGTTGATGGAATAAACCCAAGTTCTTCGGTTCTCACTTGTGTTAATATAGTTGTCCATACACCTGAAGATGAGGTAATCTGCTCGCTTGATCCGATATTTTTATTAGTTCATACAGATTGCAACATCTGTTTATGTTGATACTTTTACTTCAAAAAAAAAATGTTGATACTTTGCACTCGTCATCTTCTGTAGCTTAGCTTTGGGGCAGATGAGTCATATAACTTAACTGTTCCAACAACAGGAGATCCACTGTATGCACAGATCGAGGTTAGTAAAGAGTTCAATGTATAGTTGCATTGTCTAAAAATACATTAGAAGCTTACTCCTATTCCCTCCTTGAAGATGAATTCAGAACTTATTTGCACCATGCAAGCCTTCAGAGTATTTTGTAGCATCTAGCACGCATAATGTCGTCCTAAACCCTCCTAAATAGACCTTTCCCTATTAAATTTCTGAAATACAAATTAACATAATACACCAGATGGACGCTTACAAGAAAAACACAAGTTATGTCTGTAAATAAGTATCATGTAATGTCAACTCCGCTATGAAATGTAAACTCCACAACATATCTATGTTCTACGTGTTATGACATGGGGATTGGGATAAGCTGTAGGTTGCAAGAGTCAAGAGAAAGTGAAACAAATGCAGAAATCGCACTTAGCATTTACTATATACACAATGCAAGGCCCTTCAATAGGTATGTATTGATGACCCCTTACAATATTTTGTAGGCTCAAACAGTTTTTGGAGCACTTCAAGCCTTGCAGGTAATTACTTCATGTGGTTCATAGAGTTACAAGCAATAAGTGTAAGAAAGATGCCTCACAATCATGCAGTCCAACACTAGTTTTTCTAATCAATGCAGACGTTTGGTCAGTTATGTTACTTTGATTTTACATCACGGCTCATTGAACTCAACTCTGCTCCTTGGATAATTACCGACAGACCCAGATTTCCTTACCGGGGATTGCTTATTGGTTAGAACCAGCATTTCCACCTTTTACACATATCAAATGTCAACAATGTGGACGTCCTGTGAGTGATCACAACACCATTAATTTAAGCTTACTTGCAGATACCGCATGAGACACTACCTCCCTGTTAAGATAATCAAAGGAGTGATTGATGCAATGGCTTACAGCAAATTGGTAAGTTTGATATTTTGAATTTGCATTAAATTTTAATTGCTTGACCCATAAGTTACAAAAAAGGTTTGAATTTTTATTTTAACTGTCTATGCTCGCTAAATAGTTTCTTATTTGTTACTTGTTTTATTTCTTTTGTCACACAGAATGTTCTCCACTGGCATATCGTGGACGAGCAGTCATTTCCCATTGAAATACCTTCATACCCCAAATTGTGGAACGGTTCATACTCTTATTCAGAGAGATATACAATGTCTGATGCTATTGACATTGTACGGTGCGTTCTATTTTCATTATCAATATCACAAAACTTTACAATACCAATATTATACAAGCATTGAAAATTTGGAGGTAACTGCCTTCAAAACGATGGAAACTAAAAGAAACTTCACTGAGAGTGAGTATATTGGTCAAATTGCACTTTGCAGGTATGCTGAAAAGCGAGGTGTAAATGTGTTGGCTGAGATTGATGTTCCTGGCCATGCCCGCTCATGGTAAGAAATTTCATTATGTTCTAAAGTCCAATGTGTTTCAAAATTACAGGAAATCATTTGGAGGGCAAAACCATTTTTATTGAAGTTATTAAAATTAATCTGTAAGATTTCACAAGTGCAATTTGACTAATATGACAAAATGCAAGGCTGGAATTGTGAAAATTATACCTTTCAGGGGTGTCGGCTACCCATCATTATGGCCCTCAGAAAGCTGCAGAGAACCACTTGATGTCAGTAAAAACTTTACATTTGAAGTCATCGATGGCATTCTTTCAGGTGGTACATCTTAACGATTTTGTTGACAAAATTGAAGTCGCTCCTAAGCTAGTTATTTCAAATGATCACTATTCTGTGGGAATGGCATGAAAGATAAAGCTATTATGAATTGGGAACGCCTATAATGGACAGATTATATGCATTGAATCACTAATTCACTATTGGAAAAAAGTAAATATCCTAGTATTCTACACAGCAGTCTAACAGAGTTCACAATTTATGTTATCTTTCAGATTTTAGCAAGATTTTTAAGTTCAAATTTGTCCACTTAGGCGGTGATGAAGTCAATACAAGTAAGAACAACAATTGCATTTACAACTGATATAGTGCAGTGACCAAACAATAGATCTATCGATCACACATTCATTCTTTTCTCTGAATTTCAGGCTGCTGGACCACAACACCCCATATTGAAGGATGGTATATTTCTATGCGCTAAGTGAAATTACAATTTCACAGCTAACCTGATGTTTTTTATGACTATATGCATAAGTAGAAAATAAATTGGTCATGTTCTTGTACCAGTCAATTAATTCAAGACAATCCTTTTATAGGTTGAAAAATAACCATATGAACGTATCAGACGCATACAGAGATTTTGTATTAAGATCTCAAAAGATAGCGATATCACATGGCTACGACATCATAAACTGGTACCCCCTATTCGACAATTTTGCCAGGTTCCAGTAAGTTACTAGCCATTAAAAATTTAACAGACAATGTTTCATGCTTACAGGGAAGAGACATTTAACAGTTTTGGAGACAAATTGGACCCAAAAACCGTGGTGCATAACTGGTATTTACTCACTTTCTGCTTAATTTATGACATGGGGAAGGTTTTACTTGCATCGATAGCACAATGACTCCCAGTTTCACACGATGCTCACCCTGGAGTTTACAGTTGTTCAGAACATGAAGGGGCATAACATTTCAGGGTTATACATATTCAGTGAAATAAAGGGTTTAAATAAAATGGAAAACAAGACCAAACTTGGAGGAACCAGCTTTATATTAAGAAGAAATTAATTAATTAAAGGGTTTTAGATTCAGTTAACATTTTTCATGCAATTTGTACTCCTAAGTTCATCCTGGCTCTTCTTCCTGCTACCAATAGTTAACTGTTAGCAATTTTGCCCATAAATTAATAGGCTTGGAGAAGATGTAGCACCCAAAGTGGTTGCTGCAGGGCATAGGTGTATAGTAAGCAACCAGGATAAGTGGTACCTGGATCACTTGGATGCCTCATGGGAAGGATTTTACATGAATGAGCCCCTAAAAGGTATCAATGATACAAAGCAGCAGCAATTGGTCATTGGTGGTGAGGTTTGCATGTGGGGTGAGGAAATTGATGCCTCAGACATTCAGCAAACAATTTGGCCACGTGCTGCAGCAGCTGCAGGTAACTGACTGAAAAGGTTGAGTGTCCTGATTAATGCCTGATATATTTCAAATTTAATGGATAAAACATTATCCAAACCAGAGTCTTAATTGCAAGCTATAATCACCTATATTATTTAGGGGACATAAATATAGTGTGACACAGTACTTCAATCAGTTAACTTTGAGCAGAAATATGGTATGCTTTGAATGATAAAATTCCACCGAGTATATACATCTTCAATATTCATGTTCTCATATAGTATAGTAAGATGTCATCAAAAATCCTAGCATAAAAGGTTAAATATGCATGCTCACTGCTCAGATATGACATTGTTTTATTATAAAGAAGAGCATACTGCATAGAATAAATTCTCAAAGGCACGCACAATTTAGCATGTTGCTGAACAATGATAGATGACTGCTTTCATAATTTCAGTAGATTCTGTATAGCAATTGAGTTGATGTACACCAAAATATTATTTAAGGGCATGATCCACACTAACAGAAGCAGAGTTTACAAGCAACCTTGTAATCTATGGTAGTATGAAATTTGTATGCCACTCACAAATACTCATCTGCCATGCCAAGGAATGCATGGTTGCACTGCCATCTGTATGAACGATTTTTGACTCACCAATCCTCTTACATTGCATATCCTTGAAGAGAGACTGTGGACTCCGATTGAGAAGCATGCAAATGACACAAGATTTGTTACATCAAGATTGGCGCGCTTCAGATGTTTGCTCAACCAAAGAGGAGTAGCTGCTGCACCATTAGCAGGGTATGGTCGTGCATCACCATCAGAACCTGGCCCCTGTGTAAGGCAATAAATGTCCATAACTAAATGGAAAGGGGTATTCACGGAGGAAAACCTGCCGTTCCTTGACAGAAAAGGATTCGCTCTTACCCCTGTTATACATTCAGCAGAGTGTATGTCAGATAGTTGGTTTAGGGTTGTGTAGAATGTTTCATGTCCTTTTTTGCTCCTCTCCAATCCAATTTCCTCCCGCAATAATTTGGATGCCTATGAAATCTATATGGTATGGTAATGAAATGTAATAGCTTCATACGGGGTTCACCAATTAGTTGTCTTCCCCCCCCCCACCCCACCCACCACACACACACACACACACACACACACACAAAAAAAAATAACTCACTCAGAAAACCTGTTTCCAGTCAAAATAAATTTTAACGCAAACAATCAGCATATGTGTTGCACATGATCATACTAAAATTGAGGGACGCTCTCACTGCAAACGCAAAGATCATTATACTTATAGAAAAGTCGCCCAATATAAGACAAAAAATAACTTTTCCTTGCATATGAGCATACTTAAATTCTAGGACATTTATACTGCCAACAAAATAACCACATACTTCTCTACAAATCATGGAAATTTTCATCATAAAATGGAAGCGCATTTGAGTGCACATCAATCATATGAAGAATATCGGTATTTATGGTTCAAACAAATGTTCTATTTATCTGCAGCCATGAAATTCCACCGTTCACAAATTTCTAAACTAGGACAGGTTGAGACATACTACCAGTACCAGACATGCTAGTACTTGGTTCCCCATCTTGCTGGCTACATTCATCAGGTTCTTTACCAGATAATTTCTGAAATTTCTCAAAGCATTCCTCCATCCCTGGTATATACAGCTTCATTCTGTCAAAATGCCGAGCAAGATCTAGACCCATCTTCATCCATTTTTTAGCAACAGAATGTTGCCCAAGCCGCACAGGTAAATATGACTTGTTCCATGCAGTTATTGCAAGCCACCTCCCTTCCTCAAATGGATATTCACCATCTCTAAGTCCAACCACAATCTGGTAAGCTTGTTGAAATACATCATAGGCTGCATCACTCATGCTACCACTGAAATCCTGGAGACCAGAAAGGCATACTAGTTTTCTGAGGGCAGCACTGATTACCCCATAGTTTGGCGAGTGAGAGGCAAGGGCAGTACTGATGCTGGCCTTCAGGAGAAACTCAGCTACCTGGAGGTTTGGTTGGGTGCCTTCAGAAGCCATGTCTCCAAGTATGAGAAGATGACCTGGTGTACATGCTTTAGATGCTGCAAAGCTCTTGACTAATTGGAGCTGCTGAGGGTGTGCGCTAGTGTCCAGTCTATTGAGAAGCTGGTAGAAGTTGAATGTATGAAGAAAGGGCAGGTTGTTCTCCAATTGATCAGAGATCACCGGAGCCGAAGGCAGAGTCAAGGGTAATAGCTGCAAATCAGTACAAACGAATCAAAAGAATGTCCAAGAAAAACAAATCCAAACACACTGGTATCAGCAACTCTTGATAATTGGCAAGCTCCATGTTTACCTTGCCAGCCCTTCTGAGCATCTCAATGCCCTTTTTAAGGTCAGAGTCTGACAATGGAGACTTGTTTAGTTCTTCAGCCTGGAGCATGCAACTGACACTCATGATCAATGATTTGCAAATCAAGAGAAGGTTAGCATCATCTTCCCCATTACCAGAGCTGAAAAATTCAGCAGCAAGCTCAAAGAATTCAGAGGAATAATCATACTTCTTCTCTTTTACCACCTTTAAAGCCATATTCCATGAACTGACAGCAAACCAATTCAGTTCACGCAGCCCTACAGTCCCCTTTCCCAAAAAAGTTTCCACACCAAGCTCATCCATCCGTAGCTTGGCACGTCTTGAGTACTTCAGAATCTCAGCCTCAGATCCTGGCTCACGAAGGAGGAGGGCTATCAGGTTGCGGAGGACAGTGGCCTCGCTCATTGGCAATGGCTTTCCAGCAGAGTAGAGGCCTAGAAGGAAGGTTAACGAAGCAACTGCCACACGGAAAGACTTGCAGACGATAGCTTCATGAATCGAGAGCGTCAGGAAGTGAGGGTTGAAGTCAACATAGCCCACCATGGTCTTCATCAGCTTGATAGCCTCATCATCCTCCTTCTTGTGCAGAAGGATCTTAAACTAGAAAATGCATATGTATTAGTAAAAAAGTGCTAAAACTAAAATGGAACCCTGTAAAACTGACAGCATGTACAGAGCATTACCTTCAGAAAGGCACAGTGGATATTGGGTTCAACCTACAGGTATGCATTGATTCAAGCATAAGAAAGCATCACACAATATCATCTAACAAGGCAACGGGGAGAAAGATCAATACCTTTTCAGCCTCAGTTATGAACTCTTGGGCTCGATCAAGATGACGAAGTGCCATATGGCAAAGGCAAAGTACTCGGAAGCATTTTGCACGGCGGGATCTGCTTTCCTCGTCACGGGAAACATAAAGCATCGACCTCTCAATCAAATCCGCACAGATCTCGCAGTTGTTTGCATGGAAATGCTCAGAGCCACTGTCCAAAATTACAAATGCCAGCTTCAGTAGGTGCACACATTTTCTTACGAAGTACTACTGTATATGAGTTCAGTAGTGTAAGAGAATACAAACCATGTCCATAGCAGTGCATGCATTGTGTCACGCTCATGGGTGTTAGCAGGGCCATTGAACAGCGCAACCACCCTCTCATCTGACACGAGCTCAGCAATCGCTCTTGCACGCCCAGCCCCGCCGCCTGCACCCTGAACCACCGTTTTCAACACCCTCACTGCAGCAGCTGCAGCACTGGCGTGGCACCGTGCGGCAAGTGCAACAAGCACCTTAAGTGCAGCATCCAGCCCCGCACTGGCTAGGTACAGCTCGGCTGCCGACACGCACAAGAATTCGGGCGCTTCCTCATTGGCCATGAGCCTACCGAGCTCCCTCTCGGCGTCCACCAATTTACCGCTGCTGAGACACGCACGCAGCGCCATGAACGCAATGCTGGAGTGCTCCTTCCCCAGCCCTGGTGAGGCTCTCGAGACCCTGGTACAGTGCAGGGTGCCCTCGTAGTCGTTGGCTTCGAGACGCTCGGCGGCGAGGAAGCGGAGGCATTGATCCTTAATCACTTGGAGCTTTGGGGTTGCAGGAGTGGATCTCGGGGTCGTCGGAGTGTCGCAGCTGGGGGAGGCCGCGGCCTTCTCGCAGAGATCAAGCGCTTCGGTTAGGAGGGTCGACGCGTCGATGGCGGGATCCGGGGATTTTGTGGCGAAAGCAGCCTTGCCAAGGAGGAGGTACGCCTCGGCGAGGGCTTTGACCCCCTCAGAAGACGCCGCGGCGAGGGGCTTGGACCGGCTTAGCAACGCGACGGCGAGGGCGTGCTTGCCCTGATTCGACGCCGCGCGCGCGCGCGCGAGGTTGAGGTCCAGCAGGATGTCCCGATCCTCCTCCGTGTCAACTGCGCAGACCAGCGGCGTGGCCTTCTCGAAGCAGGCGGAAGCGAGGTCGGCGCGGCCGAGGTCAAGCCAGACCAGGCCAGTGCGGTGGAAAAGGGACGCCGCCTTCACAGTGGCGTTGGGGACGCCTACCGGGAGGCCGGCGATGAGGAGGAGCTCCGGCGCCGCCTGCCGGATCTCCGTCTCCGCGACCGCGGCCTCGGGTCCCCTCTCAGGGAAGTTGTGGTTGGCGCGGTCGACGCACGCGTTCCAGAGGCGGAAGGCGAGGTTCCATACCTTGAGCCTGAACGCTCCGTTGAGGCCCGAGGAGGAGGACGAAGTGGCGGATGCGAGGTTGGTGAGGAGGCAGCGGAGATCGGCAGCGAGCTTCTCCAGGGAAGAGGAATCGGAGGCGTCGAGCGCCTCGACGTCGGCGACGATCCTGTTGAGGTCGGTGAGGAGGGCGGCGTGCGGCGGCGGCGGCCGGTACTCGGGGGAGAGCTGGGAGATCCGGTACTCGGGGGAGAGCTCGGAGATCTTCATGGGGTTTAGGATTCGGCAGCTTCCGATCGAATTGAGTGGTGATTTCGAGCGAGAAGGGAGGCTAGGTGTGGGGGTGGAGGCTGGAGAAGGAATTCCAGGACGGCAAATTGGGGGAGGGGGGAGAATTCGAATTTTGAAGTGGTTGCCGACTGCTGGTGCCGGCTCCATTTTTATACCGGGAGCATTCTGGAAGATATTCTCCACCTAAAAATGCTTCCAAATTCCAGAGCCAAATTCGAATACTGAACGGACGAACTGGTTGCATCAATATTCTCCACCTAAAAATGCTTCCAAATTCCAGAGCCAAATTCACTCAATTCACTAGTGTTTTACTGGCTGCATCAACGTTTTGACGCTTTGCTTTTTTTTTTTTTTTTTTGACGAACGACACTGTTTCTATTGGTATAGAAAAAAAAATAGGACAAGACGACTAAAAAGAAACTAAGGACCCGTTTGATAGGGCTCCAGATTCTCGCAGAAACGTTTCGAATTCAGATTCTTTCAAAAAACGTTTCTGACGATGAATCAGAATCACTTTATAAAATCGTTTGGCTGGCATTTTGGATTCTGATTAAAAAATCATTTAAATAAAAATATGTTCAAAAAAATCTAAATTTTTTTGTGGACGGAGAACAACTTAAATAAAAACAATTTTAACTTTTTGCACTAAAAAAGAATTAACTAAAAAAATGAAACAAAAAAAGCAAGAAGCAATGAGATGAGAATCTGTGCGAAACTAGCCTCCAGCCGTTTCACATGTGTACGTAGAAATGGTAAAACATCTCGGTTTCAAATCACTCGCTGAAAAGACCGTTTGAAAGTGATTCTGGTGATTCTCATGAGAAACTGAAACGTTTCTCCTATCAAAATAGGCCTTAAAAAACAAACCATCAAAGAAGACCAAACAGTCAAAAACCGAACTGGCCGCAGCTAAGCGTTACCGACCACCGCTAGGCGCTAGACCATGAAGAAGCCACAAATGCTCTTCCAAATACACAATGGCCAACCACACACTGCTACTGTGCTACACTTGCTAATCGCTCCGTGCAAATCTTTGTAGAAACCATCCTGGGTCTCGTTGACGAATAAAATATGATAGTATATCACTCAAATCTAACCAAAAATAAACTTGTCCAATTAAGAATGGACACTGATTTAAAAGCTGAGTCTCATTTGCAAATAAAATGTGATAGTGTACCACTCAAATCTAACAAAAATAAGCATGTGCAACTAAGAATTGAATTGTGATTTCAAAGCACTAATTTAAAAGGGAATCGGTGTCTACTGAAACATGTGCAACTAAGGGCATGTTTGGCGTAGCTCCATGGGTGTAAGTGCATCTAGCCACTGAGTGGTTTTTGGTAAATTAAATGACAACACCATTAAAGGTCTAACAAGTTTGCTAAGTATTGAACACAAAATTTAGTTTATTGCATACACTTGTGGATTGTGGAATAAAAAGTGTATATAGGTTCAACAACAAGGCAAACTTGATGATATTCCACATAATGTTCAAATCAAGGCCAAAATTATGTATCGTTGTGTTGTAAGATCATGAAAACAATATAGCTCAAGAGAAAGACAATAATACAAAAGGAGTTGATGAAATGGCTTCTATGTTGTGGGATATCATAGTATCATGAGAAAGCAAGCATATTTGGCAAATGGTAAATGAGACATGAGTTGATAATTTTGGATTGGTCTTAATAATGGCTTGCTTTGCATGAACAAGAAAAATTTGATAGTGGATTAGCTTTGATCAAGGATTGAAGAATGAGTCAAGAATGCATAAGTGAAGAAATACTAAGCAAAGGTTTAATAACAAAAGACACAACTCATATTGGATATAAGTCGATCTCTATGTTGGTTTGCTTGTATGGATAAAGATTTAAAAAATCACTTTGCATTAATATGATCAAGCTAGAAGTATAAAGATAGAGATTAAAGTGAGTGTTAGGAATGTCGTGCCAAAATAAAGAGGATATAAGGAATCGTAAATTGGCTTGACCACATTGATGTTGATCCATATATGTCTCTATGTGAGTCTAGCTGAAGCTTGATTGATCTGAACTTTCATATCTAGAAGATATTCAAGCAAGGATTACAATATTGAAGAAATGGTTTTTCAATGGATGCTTAGTATGATATGACTTGAGTATGGCTTGATAAGGTGAAGATAGTAAGGAAAGGGCTTCGAGGGACTAAGTGGAGGTAAAGGGCAAGCGATGGCTTAAAGACCGAGGTACCATGGCTAAGGTGAAGAAGAGAGTACTTGCATTAAGTCGAGGAACTAATCAAGCTATGTGGAGTCATATTGTATTGAGGATCAAATCATTAGTGGAAGTGACTTAAAGCAATGGACTGAACTCACATGTGTTGGAAAGATTCAAGTCACAAGCTCAACATGTGTTTGCTCGAAGAGATGAGACAAAGATAATTGCAAACCTTTATGAAGTAATATTGGGTAAGAGGACAATACATTCGATGGTGGAGCCCCCAATTACAAAAGGAAGCGGCAACCGGCTCAAAGGCATTTCTAATTCATTTATTTATATATTGAAATTGAGTTTAAGAAAAGTCGTACTATAAAGAGGGATACAATGCACAAGCTTAAATTTGCAAACAAGTGCTCAAAGGTTCTCCACCAAAATATCCTCAAAACTTAGCCACTGCAGCAAGCTTTTCACTCTTCGCCAAATTGGTTGCCTGGTTTGAGCGGCACTACCGTGACTTAAAAGTTACCGTTGGACAGAAAGTGGTATGTCTATCTCCTTCCTACTTTCCCCAACGGTCATCTCGGCCATTCCCTTCCCAAGTGCAACCTGAGCAGCTCTCTCTTTCTCCCTCACTCACCATTGGAGCTCCTCAAGCTTCTCCATTGCTTCCCTTGCAAATCCATGAGAGTTTGAGCCTCCAAACTGCATTAGAGAGCTCACCAATCTGCTCTTCATCTCCTAAAGCACTTGGTTCACGTTCAAGCCAGTGGATTATGTTTGTTACTCTTGGAGCTTGCTCCTACCCGGCTAGAGCGTCGCCCATGGAGCTTGCCAACTTGTGTGGCAGCCCCAGGAGGTTTGTAATCACTACAATCATCTAGTGAAATCACCCCTTCTGGGGGACCAATACTAGGGTATCCGAAGAGGAGGAGCTAGTGGTCAACAACATTGATTCATCCGAGCAGTCAAGATCGTGACTACAGCTCCAACCGACCCCTAGGTGCACAGGTTCTGCCTGGCCCGACCACTGGGGGTGGGCTCCGCCTCGCCCGACCACTGGGGGCGGGCCCTGCCTCGCCCAACCTCTGGGTCAGGGGCTCGACCTCACCCGGCCTCTAGGGGTGGGCCCTACCTCGCCCGGCCTTTGGGGGAGGGCAATGCCTTGCCCGACCTCTGGGGGCGGGCCCCACCTCGCCCAACCTCTGGGTCGGGGGCTCCACCTCGCCCGGCCTCTAGGGGCGGGCTCCGCCTCGCCTAGCCTCTGGGTCAGGGGGCCCACCTCGCCCGGCCTCTGGGTCGAGGGCTCCGTCTCGCTTGACCCCTCAGGCACGGCTCCTAATGGAAGCCCGTACCACCGCCAACCACAATGGACTAGAAAGTACAACCTAAGGTCAAACTTCTGGCACTGTACAGGGAGCAGGCACATCTCAACATGACCCATGCCCACGACATGTCACTCCAGGGAACTCACATCACCAATAGTGATGGACGCGTGGTCACTATGTTGCCTACTCCCTGTACTACCACTGACCAGCACGCTGGTTCACCGCGTCGCCCACCGGAATGGAATGGGACATCATGACCTGCTGACAACGGCGGGGCATGGCATCAGCGGTGAATAGGCGCCCAGCGTGGAGCCATCTCTATCACCATCTGCAGTGTCAGTGAGACCCGCATAAAGGAGAAGAAAGGCCTGGTGGTCCTAGAAGCCTTCCTCTCCTTGGCTCTTCTCCCTCTTTCTCTCTATGTAACCTGCTCTTCCCTTCATCTATAAAAGGGGAAGCAGGACGCCCTAGGAGGGGGGACGGCGGTTCACCACTCTACATGGTTGTAGACATCAAAACACATGCCCTAACACGCCTTAGGAGCACATGCACATCAGAGACTTGGGACCTATCCCTCTCTCGCTCGTTTGTAACCCCTACTACAAACTTTCAGTGCTAGTAACACGAGCAGCAGCGATGAACTGGACGTAGGAACTTTCTGCCCGAACCAGTATAAACCTCGTGTCCTCTAAGCACACCATCCGAGCCAGACACGTAATACTAGAAATTTACTAGTTGGTAACTCAAAACACCAACAGTTGGCGTGTCAGGTAGAGGCCTTTTGCGTGTCTCGACATCATCACCAGGCTTTGGATGGCCAACCACGGCATTAGCTGGGTTCTGGACGCACACGTGCGCTTTGGAAACCTAGACTCCGTCATCACGGTGGAGAGAGAGCTGGCATAGGCTCCCGCCACCACCCAGCTTCGTCACTCCACCAGCCTCGACACGATCGATGAGGCATTCGAGGAGCTATGGCTGCACACACCAGAGGCTCACGCCCCTGGGAGCGACTAGCTCCTTGACTTCAACTACAAGAGGCTTGAGAGCCAGCTCGCTGCCTTCCTAGGACCCCGACCATCCTGGGATGGCATGCGCTGCCTCGCCCTCTCCTTGATAGAACCGCCCAATTTATATAAGATCAAGTACAGCTGTCCCCGCTAACACGTTGACACGCGCATACTTTCACTTATATAAACCCGGTAGTCCGCCGAGTGTCACGCAGGACCTCGGTAAATCAACATCACAACCAAGATCGCGTGATTAAGCAAATACACATCACATACGTAGAGTTGCAGCGGAAATAATATTACAAATGGTTTCACAAATAATAGTATAAGTTTGGGTTTCAAAACCGATTAGTGAAAACAACATTTGCTTTCAAAGGATTACATTAATATAAGTTCCAAATACGTTGCTAGCATAAGTGACATCCTCAGACAAAAGCATGTAGATGAGA